TATCATCATATGATTAACCATATTTTATACGTACCATCAAATTAGTAAGCATATAATTAATAATATTTTATACGTATCATCATATAAATAATCATATATATTACATTTTTAAAAATTAATGTGAAATATTAAACCATAATTTAAGTTGGTGTTTGGAATTAGGCTTTGTATTAAACATTTTTCTAAGTGTTCTTGGAAAATGATTTAGTAGATATTAATTTTTGAATAAATGTATATTTTTGAATCAATTTTTATATAAGTAAAATGTAAATTAATATATTGATTTGAAATATGTATCTAAATTTTAAATTTTGTTTATGATTATTTTAGAGAAAAAACGTTTTTAGATAATTAGATTGGGTCATTTTCGTATATTTTTAAAAAGATCCATATATATAGTTTTTCATAATATATTGAACTTTCAATTTTTCTTAATAAGATAAATCATTATTATTTTTTAATATATTGTTATCCATGTTTCCAAATAATATCATATTATTTTCTTACTATTATCTATGTTTCTAAACACGTTTGAAAAGTACTTATACTTTAATAAAAGTAGAATTGCCAATTATGACTCAAAACATGATATTTTAAATGCAAATCTATATTCAAACTTGAATCAAATGAAAAACTAACCTAAAAGCTTTGTGAAATTACAGTCAGCCCTTTGTGACTAAACAAAAAAACAAAAGTCAGCCCTAGTAAGTCGTGTGAATCTTCTGAGATGTTGGAAATCATCGAGACGACTTCCAAATTAGTCGTCTAATGTAGTTGATCTTAAAAAGAATTTTTAAATTTTTTAAAAATATTTTGACAAGTGAAAAAACTGAGATCATGTAATTATAAACAGTTTTAAGTGATGTAAATTAAAATATAATAAAATTGAATAGTTTTTAAAATAGATGAGTGAAATTAGTTGATCATATGTTGTAGTATTGTATGTATTCTTAGGGTTAAATTTTGGAAAGCTTGAATGTTTTTTTCAAAAATTATTTTTTACCTATATTTGTTTATTTGTGTGTATAATAAACATTTTAAGTTTAATTTGATTTTATTTAGTTAGTTAATTAAGTTTTGGGGATATGTTTAGGGTCTAGACGACTAATTTGTAAGTCGTCTCGTGAATAATTTAAATCAGACGACTTACATGTAAGTCATCATAATATTCTTGTCTAAAATTTATTTTTCCGCTTAAATATTATTTTATTCAAAAAAACAAAAGATTACATAATAATAATTGTTTACTTCACTAAAACTGAAAATCTAAAATGTTTTTTTTTAAATTAAATTTTTACCTATATGTGATTATTTTTGTGTATAGTAAACACTTTTTAAGTTTAATTTGATTTTAATAAAAGTGTTTAGTTAGTTAATTTGGTTTAGAAATTATATGTAGGGTCTAAGTCGTCTAGGAAGTCTTCTATTTTAGTTTCCCGCTAAAATATTTTAGTTTCCCATTAAAAATATTAAGTCTTCTGGACGACTTAGACCCTAACATATAATTTCTAAACCAAATTAACTAACTTAATATTTTTAACGGGAAACTAAAATATTTTAGTGGGAAACTAAAATAGAAGACTTCATATAATTTCCAGAAAGTCTTCTGACGGAGTCTTCTTCTATGTCTCTCCTTTTCATAACAGATCTGAGCTTTTTGGTAAGTTTATGTCTTGTTTTTCTTTATTTGGTAACTCATGTTGTATAGAGTTCTTACCTTTTTCCCAAACTAAAACTCTCCAAACCCACTCTAATCTCTTTGACCTAAAAACACCAAACTTTATTTGAATGTTTCATTGTCTCATGTCTTTCTCACTAATCTATCTCTTTTTGTAGGTTTTTCAGATCTAGGTTTGATATACATGTTTTTCAGATTTGTATAAGACTTTGGAAGACTTATGGGAAATTTTCGTGGAAGTCTTCTAAACTATAATGCGCTAGACGACTTTCAAGAAGTCTTCCAGACGATTTCCAGGAAGTCTTCTAGGCGAGTAAAATAATGATCTATAATAGTTTTGTTTGTGGTGTGTTTTGTGATTTGCATATGTACTCATTTAGTTGTGATTTTTTTTTTTTTGTAAAATCAGTAATAATGTTGCCCAAGATGTAATATATGTGCTAACAATGTGTTTACACATTTACAAATCAATGAAATAATTAACTTCAATAGCCTTCTTCTCATCTTTGAATCTTCCATATGCAATAATAAACTCCAATGGCCTTCTTCTTATCTTAATAAACAAGAATTTTGGTAGCCTCATATTGATACAACATTTTAACCCTTCTTCCAACTCATAACAATAATCATCATTGGTGTCTATAACAATAATACTTAAGAGATAGAAACAAACAATAGTAACTACTCAAAACATATCACATTTTTTACAAGTTTGTGTTGAAAAACTTAGTGAAATATAGTAAAACTAAGAGGCAAAACATATTTTGAAAATATGAGTTTTACATATCTTGAAGTACGTAACACTCTTAAAAATAGAAGTTATTCAAAAACTAGCATAGAAGACTTACACGGAAGTCTTCGTCTTCTCGAATCAGCTAGAAATTTAAGCAACATAAATGTTGGCAACCTCATAAATATCACCAATTAAATTATAAATTTCATTCAGTAGCTCTAGTATTGACTAATATACATGAATTAACAAAAAATATTAAAAAGTCTTTATAAGTTTAGAGAAAATGAAAGTTTATTAAAAATTGACGCAGACGAAACAAATAAAAAAAATTGTGTAATATTTCAATTGCAAAATTAACTTGAGACGACTTCCATGTAAGTCGTCTAGATATAAAAAATATTGATTTTTTTTTAATTTTCTATTGGACGACTTACACGTAAGTCGTCCATGAAAAGTCAAAATTTTGACACATTCCGTTTAAATGCAAAACAAAGCCGTTTCCTTAGATGAGTTAAATGTAAGTTGTCTCGAATTTTTTTATTAAACAAAAGTGGACGAATTACATGTAATTGTCTAGAAAAGAAGTTTAAAAGTCACTTACAAAACAAACCTCTGCACTGACCAGGCGACTTCCAAGTAAGTCGTCTACAAACAGAAGATGTATATGACTTACCTGAAAGTCGTCTGGCCGAACATATCTGGAAAAAATCTTGATTTCATAGTTTCAACCATTGAGATAACTTGTTTAGCACACATAAGTCTTCTCCAAGCACCAGAATCTCAAATAGACCTACCAAGAATCGTAAACTTCAATGGCTCTATGAACCATACAAATTTTAGAATCACAATCTTGGGTTTTTTTGGATGAGTATGAAGAGAAGTGAAAGAAATGTTGTTTTTAGTTTATAAGAATTGAGAAAGAAGAAGTGTAAATCGATTTGAGGTGCATTAAAAACTTCAAATTGGTTGTTTATGGTGGTTGATGTATTAATGGCAATGACAATCTTGTAAATACTTGAAGATGATAAGGTAAGAGAGCAAAAAGAAGGTTTTCGAAGAAAAGAAGATAATGGCATTTACATAAATAAAGGAGTGAATAAGACAAAAGAAAAACTTCATATTTTGAGTCAGTTTTACAAATACTGTAGCCCTTAATAAAATAGATATGAATTGAACCAGATTCTTCTTTAGAAAGCCAGTCTACTCCTAGAGACTGCAACAAGGTTTTTAAAAAGTCCATAGGAAACACTAGAAATTAACTCCAAAAGTACCAAAAATGATGAACTTAGAGCTAATAAAAAATAAAGGACAACAAATTTTCCCATTTAAAGCACTACTTGAGTCCTTGATAAACAAAGGTACACAAGTGAATAGATGAATGTGCTCACACAAAACCTTACCCGAGAGTGGCTCCACACAGCTTCAACGGGGGCGACATGCAACGGCTCCAGAACACCAGTAGAGGAGGACGTCGCATAAGCAAACTGTAGCTATCTCGAACCAAAAAACAGACTGAGTTGATCTGACATGATGCCACTTACTTTGAAGAACAGAATTGGTCAAGCGCAGGCGGTAGTTTGACTCCTCTTCGTGCCACGCGACACAAATATATGACATGCACATCAAGGAAAACTCAGGGGGATTCGTCGGAGCTAAAAGCAAGGGGACTGAAGCATAGAAAAAGAGCAACTCTCTTTAAAAACATGTGAGACAGTAATAGGTCGACAGCTCCGTCGTCTTGCAATAGACACCAGATCGCAATGGATTGTCCTCGTGACCCAAGAGCCAATGACATGGGCGAGAAGAGAAGCCGTGAGAAGACGCCGTTAAAAACACCATGTATTTCGTCGATTGAACTAATAAGAGAGGTCCTCCAAGCGGCTATCCTTTACACCGCTGATTCTCAAAAATAGAGAGGAGACGCTCAAAGAGACCTTGAGACGAGCCCGAAAAGCCGCACAGGTACAATCCAAGACCGAGAAGGGTGGAGGCAGATGAAAGATCAGATCTGATCCAGAATCTGCTCTTATTGATAAGTCAGAGGCTGAAGCGAGGCTTCTTAGACACTTCGACAAAGCCACTCGTCGTCAGTGCTCAGAGGATTCCGGTTAGGTTTCTTCAGCGGAAACTCAAGAACACCAAACAAGAAATAGGGCTAGCAAGAAAGAGAGGCTAAGGGAAAGAAGGCTTGCTGACTCTAGTTATAGGGGGTGGCGACCGGATCTAGAGGAGCCTCCAGTCACCGGATATGGAAAAACATGGTGGCGGATATAGGGTTTGTATTACGATATGTACATATCTAAGAAAAATATATCGAGTTAAAGATTTGATGTTTGTATATTTTGTGTATTACAAACTTGAACTCTCAAACCTCCATCGACGAGTTTTTTCGAAATAACGTATCAATGAATTTGTGCATATAATTCTTGTTCTAGATCAAATTATATAAATCATCGAGTCCCAACAATTTCTCATAAGCTTACCCAAGATTATCGAATATTCACTTCACAACCTAACTAGGTTGAATGGTGTCCATTTAGAGTTTCTCAACGAATGATCATCATCACTATTTAATAATTTATATTATGTAACTTATAAACTTGTAATGTTAAATTACATTGAAACAAAATCACTACTTTTGTACATAGGCAGATGTGTCAAACGACTATAGAAAGATTGTAATAGCTTTGTGAGCCCATACCAGCATCAACTATGTTTGGAAGCTTCTTTACCCTAGCCATGATGTTCTACTACGACTACGAGTCTATGAACATATATCCAAGGACCTATGCGACCATGTCGGCTTCCTGTGAATCAGGAACGATGATGTCAAGCCTCATCATGGCCTTGTAGCATTGAGGAACCCGAGCACCACTATGCATACAAATCTCAACCAAAGCAGGGGCTTTACCATAAAACCTCATGAGATTTCCGGTGAGCGGAGTTCCCTTAAGGTCTCTCACGTGCCATACATAGTTAGGAGGAAAGAGCTCCTCCACAAGAGCATCTTGCCATCCGTGCTTCCCGTCTCTCCATTGGTGCTTAAACTCTCCACACAGCTTCACACTATGTCCCCATGGTCCTACATGCACTTCAGAGCAATATCCGCATGCTTTCACCGTGTATTCCTTCATCAGTTTCGTCACTCCCCATCTCACTTTCTCGTAAGCATCCATCGTTTCCTGTGCTATCTTAGGTACCTCCTCTGGTGAGGGAGGTGGATACCTCTCACAAGCACCAAGTGTGTCAAGATCAGCTAGTGGAGATAATAATGTTGAACTGCAAGGCCTATCAGGCTCTTTAACGTATCCACCTCGATCAATCACTCTCTTTCCCATCATTCGAACTGGTTGTGTTCTTCTACGAGAAGGATACTCTGGGATCTCAACACCAGCTTGCACGCATAGCTCAACAACCGCTGGGATTCTTTCGTAGTCAAACCGGTTTTCGTGCTTTATACGCCGCCCGAAAGGGTCAAACATGTGGTAGGACTCAACAGGAATCAGAACATCACTGATGGTGCCTTTGACCCATAAATGAGAACCACGTCGCTGTGCACTTGTTGAACCACTGCAATCCTTGATATTGTGACCAGCATTAGCCACATGAACCGCCGCGCATTCACTGCAATAATACACTAAAACAAAGTAAGTGGAAACTTGCAGTGCTTTTTGGTGGCTCAGAACTGAGATAGAGCTGTGATATTACCTGCAAGCAAAGACGGGAACAACGTGGAGAAGCTGTGCTAAACCCTTGATGAGCAACTTCCAGTTATCTATAACTTCATAGGCGATGGGAACAAGAGCGGGGACAAGCAATCCGTTCTTGGGAGGGTCCAAGTGTTTCTCTATTCCCATCTGAGCAAGTTTCTTGTCTCTCTTAGCTGCTTCTTGGATTTGCTTAAAAGGGATAGGATAAGGTTTTTTCTTGTTCTTCGGTAAAACAGGAGGGAGATCCACGTTCTGTGTAGACACATGCCGTTTCTTGATATTTGTGCGTCGTGTAGGCTTATGATTGAAACAAACGAACCTCATTGAACAATCCTTTTTAATAATCGGGTAAGGAATCTGCATATATTTATATAAGAAAATTCATAAATTAAGTAGGTGAAGACCCAACCTCAGCAAGATAAAAAATTACAGGAGATGAAAATGTAAAACCTGAAAGCCAAGTGCATAAGAGCCTTTAGCAGAAAAATCAATTGGGTGAGGATAAACACCTATAGGTGAGGATTAGCCAGAATGAGAGACTGTCTACAATTGTGGATGATCAGAATAAGAAGAAAAAAAATAGATAAGAAAGCAAAGCTTACCTCTACAGGGAGGCCAAACCAGAAGCATAGTGGCTTGACGAGAGAACACCCAAATCAGAAACTAAGTTAAAAACGATAACTTTGGCTGAGCCCTGGAAGATTTAAGTAAGTGAAAACGAGTACATGGGTTTAGTCAATTCGTCGAACACGTGGTGTGCAAGTAAGACAAGTAATCAGACAAAGAAGAAACATAAAGACTACAAAACCTTAAACTCGAAGAGATCTGAAGGAGAAGATAAACTGGATTAAAGAGACGATGTTCGTTCAGCAGTTTTTGAGTTCCTCAAGAACAAGACACCCGAACATACATGCCTCGAGCGCGAGTGGAAAGATCGGTCGGAATCTGACAATGATTCAGAAAGGTGAAGCAGATTCAATCAGAGTTTTCTTAAGCTGTCAATTTCTTGGAATAAATCGATGAACCCAGAATTTTCGAAAGTTCTTTTAATTTATTGTTGATGTGCAATATGATCTTTTTAGTGAGACCTTCGATATCATAAAAGAGATGTAGTGTAGTATGTATAGCCCAATAAAGCTAATTTGAGTTCTTGTTCAGTTCCAATTCGAATTGGGTTTTCTAGTTACAACCCAATTTCTGTTTCATTTATTTGCCATAGTGTTTTATTAAATGTTTTGTTTTTGTTTTTATTCAATATATAAAAATCCGTTATAATAAAAAAATATTTTATAAATCTATTTAACTGAATAACCATATTGAGATTTGTTATTGGCAAAATATACATTTTTAGTAATAATTTGCGAACCTGATGATGGACATGGTTGAAATTCCAATTGTAACCTCACGTACGAGTAGGAAATTATTTCCCTTTGCCCGTAGTCGGTTTTCTAGTCTGTTTCTGCAACATGAAAGCTGTTCAACTGTGATATTTTTTTTTCTATTTTTTTCGTTTTTCACCAACTGAAATATTTTTTAAAAAATAATATTAATTTTTTATTGTCAAATGCATAATTAAACATAGATGTACAGCTAGATATTTTGTTGGAGAAGTGTGGTTTTAAGAGGGTGTAGCGGGTACAAAGACACGTGTATGTTAGGAAATAATTCAACGAGATACTTGTAGGACTACAAATGTCAAATACCATCATTTTGTTGTCTTTATCAAGAGAGCTTGATATCAGAGATAACACAAAAGAATTTTGTTTGCAGATGCTAGCCTTTGTGATCCACTGGGGTAGCAGGGGCACTCTTTTCAATCAGAGTCACGAGATACATAAATTCAATCAAAATATGATCAACCGTGACATTGATAGTAATGAGTATTCCATCTATCACAGTTATTTCATGGCAATGAAACGACTTACGCTACGGAGTTGTTCTATAACCCGAGTAAATATATGTTATTTAGTCATCAGATCAAAGAATAACCACATTTTCTCCAAGTTTAAAAATTGATAATTAAGACCTGGATATAAGATCTTAAATTTGATAAAACAAAGAATAATTAGGGGGGTGGGGTTAATTGCCATCTTCAATATGATAAAGATTCTGTTTTGCAGAGTTATTCTGTGATTGGACATGACCCATTAAGAATTTGAAAAGAAACGTAAAGAGATTTGATTTTGTCATAAGAAATTGTAATCGGTAATGTAAAGGAGTCGAGGAGATATAACTTTAATATGTTTACTGGATTGGACATATATTACCGGTCTTAAAATGAAAGAAGGCAAGTTTCAATGGGAATCTAAGTTGTAACCACATATATATTACTATTCAGGTTTTTAGGCAACGTAACCGGGAATTTTTGATAATATGTAAACCAGTTGATTATATCAACTGGAGTCACATTCATTGTTTCAGATGAGGAGCGATGAGTTAGTGTGGGTCATATCCGAGAAAATACCAAAAAAAAAAATGCACGAGATTATGTTACAAAATTAATTGCAGGAATTCGATATTGGGCAGATGTAAAAATGATAGAGGAATCATATAAGAATATTTTTCAGTTTGGGTAGTACAAGCAAATGAGATAAGAATATTACCCACAAGTTTAACAACATAATATTAAGAATGCCTATTTTCCCTAAACCAAGAGTGTTTCTCGCTATCTACATATAAGATCTAAGATGAAAAGTCCTCAAAAAGTGTGGATCTCTTATTGAGACTCGGTTGCATAAGAAAATATCCCATCATGCAATCCATTTAGCTAAGAAAACGGGGTATACTAGCGTCAGGAGTGGCACCTTGTTGGGGAGCTAGCGCTGGTGAGTTTTGGTCAACCAGAATTTTGTTGGCAGAAGCTGGTGCTGGTTTCTGAATCTTTTTCTTAATGATCAGCTATGTGCTTCATTGTAGGTCCAAGGGATAGTCTTTGACTATTATGTCGTCCTTTGGCTAAGTAAGACTCCCTCATCAATCATTTTATCTCTTTCATTTCCTTGACTTGGATTTCATATGAGATACACAAAATTGTTAATGAGGTGTGTTAGTTCATAATATCACTCATAATGGAGAGACACCATATATAACCTCCATCATGGAGATGTTCACTGCTGTTATACTTCCACCAGAAACCCAGTTCTCCATTTATCATAAATGCATCCACAATAATAATTGCGTGAAGACCACAATACTTAGTATTGTTGCTCATGGGTCTGTGATAGTTGTCTCCATGTGATAAAACGAACACTTTAAAACAAACAATAAAATCTATGAAATACAAAATTTCTTTCAAACCTATTTACCTTTTTGATACCCTAGTACTCTTGAAACACATGTAACGATACTCATATAGGTTGCATCTGAAGTCCGTTTAAAAGAGCCTTAAAATCCCCACCAACAAGGTATAGTCTACTATCCTAATCATATTCCCTCCTTCACTAGGGCCGCCTTTTATGAAGTTAAATCTCTATTTGTTCCCTCTTTGTCTTCTTACTCCCATAGTTTTTATATAGTGAAGAACAGATTCCACTAAAAACACATGACATTTGTGCCTTCTTTGTTGTGCTGTATGCAACATGTGTTCATGACTTGCATAAAAGCATAGTTCTCCGACACTTAAGCTAATATATATATTATCTTGATTACACAAAATTTTCACATGTTATGGATTATTCATGAATCGAGGTTAGAAAAACTTTAAATGACCAAATAAAATAGACACATCAATCATTAAATGATCCAGATAAAAAAGAAACATGCAAGATCTAAAAGGCATAACCATGAAATAGTAATCAATTATTACAGGCAGATAATGTGTTCATAGAAACTAAAGACACGACAGTGAGTTCATCAACTGTTAAAAATTATGTGCCTTTCATAATCATTTGGACAAAGCCACAATCTTTTGCTCCAAATTCTCAATCTGCAGGTTCATCTTGCCCGTTTTGTTGTCAAGCTTCTCAGTTTTCTGTTTGTAGATGTTGAACTCCTTAGTTATGTATGACTGAAGAGTAACCATAAACGCTTGAGCAGTCTCGAGATCAGAGAACCTTAGGTCAGCTCCCTTGAGGTCGTAGTCACGAAGTGAAAACATGAATGAAAGGCCAGAGACACCCATCACAACAGTGAACAAGGTTGTGGTGTAAGTCTCTGAAATGCTCACACACGCTTCCATCAGAGAAGAACTGTCGTTCCAGACAAAAGTCTTGGGAGGCAACGGGGCTGCAGAGTAATGCACCAAATAAAATTGAAACATGAATCACAAATTATTTTTTGAGGGACGCGTAGCCGCTGCAGAAGATAGACATCTAGTTAAACCAAAAGTAGTGAAAATGTTGCTATCAAAATACATTCAACTTTTTAAAAAACTTACTTCATCGTCGAACGTTTCATCTGCTTGATTTGGAATGGGTTTACCATGTTTGGAAGGTGTCTCATCTGATCCATATATTTCAATCTGTAAATACAAAAACAATCATGAAGGCTATCATGAATATGAACTAAAACTTTCTAATTTATTTAAACAGAGAATATTTAAACAAGGTTTGAGCATATATGTGATGTGTGAAACTAGAAGAATAGGCTTGAGTGCCAGTATGCATCTTTGTCTCAGTCTGCAAGTGCAAAACCAATCAGGAAGGCTATTATGAATATGTACTAAAGATTTCGGAATTACTTATACATAGAAAATTTAAAAAAGGATTGAGCATATACGTGTTGTATCAAACTTATGATCGTGTAACGGAAACTTCTTAGAATTTTATAAAACGATTTCTCGAGTTTTATAAAACGACTTATCGAGTTTTATAAAACGACTTCTTGAGTTTTTATAAAACGACTTATCGATTTTTATAAAAAACGTATTTTTATTTCTTGCGGAAAGTAATGATTTTATCTCTGAGTTTCTCTTGTTCTAGGAGGAGATGGATCGCAGCGATGCTGAGGAAACTACAGTGCCGACTTGTGCAGCCCCGGTGAACCTGTCCACCCCTGCGGAAGAATCCGAGGCTATTCCGGAAGAAGCGGCGAGTGTCATAACGAAACCTTTGGTAAGCGTTACCGTCGAGCCGTCGGGTTCATCCGCTGTTCCGGCCATTGCTGAGGTCGAAACTGCAGCGGTTCCCGCCGAGAGCAAAACGGTTGTGGCTCCCACCGCGGTTGAGCCGGTTACGACCTTGAAGCCTCCTCCTCCGGCCAAGAGGGTGATCGTCTTGGGACTCCCGGCGCTTAGTGCCACGCTAGCTGCTCCAGCCAAAGGTCGTAAGAGATCTAGCTTGAACTACGATGCTCCCAAGAGAAAGAGATGCGCGAAAGACCCGGAGGCTGGTGCTTCGTCGAGCAAGGCGCAAGGTTTGGGTTTGATGTCGCAGCACCGAGCCAAGGTATAGGTTTGCGAGTACACCTTTTTATTTTTAACTGGTGCCTGATCGTTTGTCTTTGACTTTTCCAGTTCGTTTCGCTGATCGATGGAGTGATCAAAGAGTGCGGGTCTGAAGTTGAGCGTTTGGCTAAAGAGTTGGCTGAGTTGCAGAAGAGGTCCGCTCAGTTTAAAGTGAAGCTGAAGGTGATAGAAGATGTGCATTCCGCGGAGGTGTCTCAGTTTGAGGCTAGAATCAGCGACTTGGAACGCGACCTGGGAAAGACCGCGATTTCTCTTCTCATGGCGAAGGATGCGAAGAAGTCTAAGGCTTCGAAACTGCACAGACTTCAGCGCAAGATGAAGAGTTTTGAGGGATCGACGGTGCGTGCGACCAAAGAGGATGTTCCCGTCAAGGGAAGTGACTCCGACCCGACTCTTGCTGCCGAAAGCGCCCCTCAGCTTGGTGCAGATGAGAGCAATGATCTAGAGATCACTGACAAAGGTGAAGGTGTTGTTGCGGGTGCTGGTGATGCGATGGATGAGGACGGGGCTCCGTGTGCGGAGGGTATCTGAAGTTGTAGTCTCGTATGAGACTTAAGAATTAGATTTTTATGTGTTTGGCCGAAAATGGCTTTTGTACTTGTTCGGGACTGGCCTTTTACGGCTTTGAATCCCTTGTTGCTTTGGCAACTTTTTATAACGAACAATCAGCTTTTCGTTTAAACC